GTGGATGTTCGTTATAGAAAGAGATAGGTTGGAAGGGGACGACGAGAGCAGCCGGCGTCTACGATCGTAATGCCGCGCGATCTCCTCTCGCGCATCATAGAAACGCATCTTTATGTATTATCCGTGTTGTAGACCGAGATGTTCCGCTAAACCGATAATATTGCACACTCGTTTGGCGCGTCGAACGAGAATATCGTGACTTAACGCGCCCACCTCGACGTTAATTGCAACCGAGTCGATTTATCCTATTATCGCGGCAGTTTATGCCACAATGTCGGCCGTCGAATGCCGACCGTCCAGTATAAAACGACGTTTTTCATACGTGATAATGTTGCCGGGCGAGTCGACCACGTGTCAGACACGTGCGACGATGCTTATCGGATTATTCCAAGGAAACATCATCTCCGAAACGTTCTAGAGAGAACTACCAGGTGATCCGCCCATCGGACGGATAATGTTCGAAGAAACGTGATTAAGAATCGTCGTACCAGAATTTAGAAGAATTTATAAGAATATGTAATATATTTAATAATAATTTTTTAAGATTTTATCGCGTGCGTTTATGCTTTGTTTTGTATTTTTTGTTATACGTATACGAGGTAAACGTATATCACATTGAGTTATACGGTTTGATTGAGTGAGTTTCTCAGACATATACATAATCGGCAAAGAATGAATTGCTCTTTAAAGAGAAACAAACGAAAGATATTGAAAAAGTGTAGAAATTCGGAGGATTGACATACACGTACACACGATCGTCTATTAAATAAAATTCATTTCAATTTTTTCTCTCTGCGCATCGAGGAAGTCTGCGCGCACGTGAGTCGAGGCCTGCCGTCTTCGCGCGCATCCGACCACGTTCACCAAATTTAAATACTAGTGTCATTGTTATTCATGATGCGTTGTCCGGGCAAAAGTCTGCCTGCCAAAATGCCGCGAGCCCGTCTGCCTGGGTTCGATAGCATCGCGGCGCCTCGTTCTAAAACCACGACCGATGCGTCACGATCGCGGAACGAGGAGGTACGATTCGGTACGCCTATTACTGCGGGGAGGGGGGGGGTGGGGAGCGGCGTAAGAGGGAGGAAGAAAGACGGCGATGCGACACGGGAAGAGAAACCGCGCGTTCGAGTAAGAGAGAAATGAAAGAATGTACGTGTACGTGCGAGAGTAAGAGAGAGACGATTGGCATGCAGGTCGCGCGGTATGTTGTCCTAGGTCACGCGTGATCTCTCTCCTTCTTCCACCTCTCCCCCTCCTCTCC